AGAGAGCAAAAGCAAGAGACACGAGACAAAGCCGCACTCTTTCTGTCTTTTGTATTTTACTCAGATTACCCACCATTGCAGCAGGCAGCGCTCACACCCTTAATCCTAGCATCTTGACATGAATCAATCCCAGCATCACGCACGTTAGATCTAGCCACCTCCAAAAGGCCCCGCCTATGACCACATGAAGCGGTAGGGGGATATCTAGACACAAGCCGTAATACTGGAGATGAGCAAATTCATGGAGAAAAAAGTACATTAGAACCTACCAGAGTGTGGAAGGGAAATGAGAAAATTACATTGCTTAATGGATGTGGCATTTGTGTAGATGTGTGTCGGCTTATATCACCATGAATGCGTTCAATGTCACCGAATCATACACTTAAAAATGGTTAAAATGGCCAGGGGTTTAGCTCAGCAGTCTAAGTGCCTGCCTGGCAAGTACCAAGTCATGGGTTCAATCCCTGGTACCAAAAAACAGACAAACAAAAAAGAAATGGTTAAAATAGTTAATTTTATGTTCTGTACATTTTGCCACCCTAATAGAGTCTACCATAGATAGGACCAAAGAGAACATTTCCAGTGAGACTCATGTGACACGCTGGTGTCATACACTGAGGCTTTAGTTTTGGGTGGGGGTACTCTCGGCCCTATGGTAAGGGGCTTTGGGTATGGGTGTGGGGGACCCCTCACGATGCTTAACACATTTAGGAATCTGGCAGTTTAGTGTACCCGAAGCTGAGACCTTACCTGGGGACCCAGGGCAGTTTTGGCACCTGGTTGGGGCCGAGGTCCTGCTACTTGCAGAGCAGCAGTAGTGATGGGGATGGTGCTGGGCAGGTGCTGGGTTTTGCTCGCTCTGCAGAGAGCAGTGTATAGGGCCAGAGAGCAAGATTTCACCTTTTCCCACTGATTGGACCCTAGGTTCCTTCTTCTGGAGCAATGGTACTGACTGCAGAATGGGTCTCAGAGAGGTCAGGCACAGGACAGGGCTGGCCCAGTGCCGGGTACACGGCAGGTGCTTAGCAAATGGCCACAGGTGTCTCCCTTCCCAGGCCTCGCATCAGTCCCTTTCACTGGGTATTTGGTGTGCACCTGCTGCATTCAGGCTCTGTCCTGCAGCTAGTGTGCTGAACAAGACCTACTTCCTCGGTTTGCAGAGGAGGAGACAGATTATGGGAGGCAGCACATGTCTGTAATTACCACTTGTAATTACGTCGATGAGGGCAGAGCTATGGGTGCAGAGGAGAGAAGTGTGTGTGTGTGTCTGCACACATGTATCATTTAAGGAGCCGCTGAGGACTCTCTAGGGTAGTGGTGTTTAAGTTAAACCAGAAGGATGGGAAGACACAGCCGCAGAGGCTTCTACTGGAAGAGAAGGCCGTGCAGGCAGGAGGCAGCACATGTACAAAGGCCTCGAGGACAGAGCTGGTTGTTGGAAGGACTGAGAGAAGCTCATATTCCGTTGTAGCTTTGGGTCCTGGACAGTGGGATGGGACACGGGCCAGGTGAGGTGAAGAGCTTTCTGCCTGTGCCGGGTACCATCTAGTGCCTGTCATTGTCCCTGTCTCCAGGGACCTCTGAAGCTGAGTGGACACTGAGAAATGTCAGGCATGGGCCACAGTCCAAGCCTGTGGACACCCTGACCTCCAGCTGCCCTCACACTGTCCATCTTGGTGGCTCCAGGTCCACACTGCTCCACTGCAGTGCTGGGCAAATCATTAAGCTTTCTCTGCCTCAGTTTCTCTCTCTGTGAGGTAGGGACGATGGCACTGAATTAGTCCAAGCAAATGGTTTGATACTAGGCAATCGCTAAGCAGTGGCGGGTACGAGCCCAGTGCTATATACAGATGCACGTGCACTGCCAAGCAGCCTGTGAGGAGTGTCAGTGACACTTCTGTGGCAGGGTCTGCAGGTGGTAGACCCGGCCCGGAGGACTCAGCGTGTCTCTGGAGCCTGGCTGCTGTGCTTGCATTAGTCTCACCCTTGGCCAACTCCTTAATGTCTCTGCACCTGAGTCTCTTCACCCGCAAAAGGGGGTCAGTGATAACAGAGCTCAGGGTGTCATAAGAATTAGTTACACAAGGTAGTCAGAGCAGTGCCCCCGGGGAGCAAGTACAAGGCGAGTATTTGTTGCTGCTGTACCTTTGTCACTCAGGGCGCAGGGATGGTACCTAGGCCAGGCCAGGGCCTGCTATCCAGAGGCCAGTGTGAGGTGTGCCAGAGGAAAGGCCTGGCTGAGCCCTGGGATCTAGTGCCACTGGTCCCCAAGATGGGGAGATGGCAGGGCTGGTACTGAGGGCACCTGCAGACACAGCAGACTTCCCAGCATGGGTCCCCAAAGGTCAGTGGAGTGGTCGCTGTTGGTACCTGGTGTCTGGGATCACTGGGCACAGGCCACAGAGTGGCAGGGCCCCGGTGCTCCCCAGCATGTCCCAGGCTCCTGAGAGGGTGGCCAGGGGCCAGCGTGCCGGAGGGAAGCGGAGAGCCTTTTAAGGAAGCATTTCTAAAGGAAAAGAAAGAGAGTGACGAGAGAAAGGCCGGAACACACACAAGGTCCGTGGGCCGGCGGCCGGCCGGGAATGCACAGCTGTGGGAGGACTCGAGGGCTGCGACTGCTCCCTCCATCCAGGTCCTCGGACAGGCCCCTGGGCCCCCTTCTCCCTGCTGCTTCCGGGAGGGCCTGGGAGACCCTCTGCTTGTCACAGGAATGCCATCCTTTCTGCCCCCCACACTCCTGGACTCTGATGGCGATGGGGAGCCACCTCGTGCAGCCCTGGGGTAATGCCTCCTCCCCACTGCATGTCACTTGGTCTCTATGCAGGGTCCCAGCATGCCTGGCATCACTGTGAGACTGGGGCACGGTCAGGGCGCTGTCCTTCCTATCCACACACGCCCGTGGGACCCTTGGTGAGGGCACTGTAGGGGCCCAGTCCATGACTTGAAAGCTTACAACCCCACAGTGGGGTTTTGGGCTGTGTGTGTCAAGGCCAACATTTCCCCCTCGGCTGCAACCTTGTTTGGTGAGTGGGGCAGGCCGGGGGGGGGGGGGCCCGCAGGCCACAGGCAGCCCTGGGGACTTCCCTTACCTACTCTGTGTCTTCTTCCCCCACCAGGCCCTGTCCCCCCAGATGCTGCTTCTTAGTCACTCCTAACCCCAGGCTCCCGGGAGCAGGCTTCCCAAGTGTTTCCTCATTCCTTTGCAAGTGGGACTGTGAGTGATAAGCTGCCCTTCATACTGCAACTTGGGGATCAGCCCATCTGGGTTCACATCCCAGCCACTTATCAGCTGTGTGAGTTCGGGCAGGTTGCTTTACCTCTCTGTGCCCAACACACCTCCACTGGGGATAAAACACCGGTATCTACTTTGTCGGACTATTAGAGGACCCAATGAGGTAACATGGAGAAAGCATTTATAGGGGTGCCTGCTGTGGTGCAGATTAGTTAGCGTTGGACATTGTCTGGCCCCATCCAATTCCCACTGCAGTCCTGAAGAGCTGTTGAGTAGAATTTGATGTTAAAATTCAGTGCTAAACTGAGTGTGGTGGCGAATGTCTATAATTCTATCAGTCCTGGAGGCTGAGACAGGAGATTACAAAGTGAAGCACAACCTAGTTGATTTTGGAACTTAATGAGACCCTGTCTCAAAACAAAACAAAACAAAACAAAACAAAACAAAACAAAACAAAACGAAACAAAACAAAAGACTCATGGGTCATGGGGGCTCCCAGCCAGAGTGGGGGTGGTCAGCTGGCTGTCATCTGATTGGCTCGAGAGCCCAGGGATGCTAACACCTGGCCATTTTGATGCCACAGAGCTTGGAGCACCTTGTCTCATGGGTGTCTTCATGGGGCTGGTGTGTCCATCCTGGAAATCTCCTCGGGATGGTAGGACCACAGCATGGTTCAGCTCGGGTGGCCCTGGACCCAGCCAGTGCCATGGACTGTGGGCTTTCGAATCATCCCTCTCTGGAGCAGCAGGCACTGAGGGCTTGCTTGCTGTATTGGGAGGCAGTGGCTTCCTCTTTGACCACCCACGCCTTGTGCCCAGACACCCTTAGGCCTCAGCACGAGCCTCTGGCTCTGTCCCTCGTGCAGGCCCCTTGCCTGGTGCTTGGGTCAGGAATTGGAGCCAAGGTTGCACACTGAGCTCCAAGAAAAACGTGTCCCAGCTCGCAAAAAGGAGCACATGGAGTCTGATAAATGCCCCTGCTAACTGTCAGGGTGATGTTTGACTCTGTGGCCTGTGGCGGCAGTGGGGGTGTGTGTGTTATCTTAGGGAGAGGAGTCCGAGCAGCCAGGGAGGCCTCCCACCCGCCTCCTCTGCCTCTCCCTGGCCTTCTTCCCTGTGTGGAGGCCAAGTTGCCTCGGAGAGGAAGAGGATGAAGAGAATGGAATTGATGGAAGTGTGCCTGCTACACGGAATTCCCGGGATTCCGTCTCCAACCCGGGAACAGAAAGCAAGGATGAAAGTGATCGCTGCCTCATAGGGGTGCTGTTGCCCCTCAAAGTCTTCCACATTTGTCCCCAGGCCAGTAGGAGCCTTCACCCTGGCACTGGGGAGACTGCAGGGGGTGGCTTTACCTTTCCTAGAGGCCTTAATCACAGGTTGTAAACACTGTAAATTCTTCTTACCATATTGTGGAACATTCAGAAGACAGAGGGAAGAAAAAGAAATCTTTATTCTTACCACTGTAACCCACTGTTACTAAAATGCTTGTGTGTTGAGCTCGAGCCTCAGCGTCTGTGGCTTTTTGCAGAATTTTAATTGTGATGCACATTTCGTGTTTGCTGTCTGTATCTCCTCCCTCTGTCCAGGCATTGTTGCCTAAGCATTGCTCTGCCTGGCCTGTAGCTTTTGTTGCCCCTCACCTGGGACATCGACCTGTGTCCAGGGAAGGAATCTCTTTCCCAGAGGTGGTAGCAGTAGGAATGGCCCCTGGAGGCCACATCTATGCTCTCGAGAGATGCTAACCTGCCCTTTCTCTGCTCCTCCCACAGGTGGCGGCCCCCTGCGTTCCTCCTTCCAGCCATGAACTGGTGGTGAGTGACAGCCTGTCTCTTCTCCTGCAGCCCCTCCTGTGGCTCTGCAGCTGCAGCTGACTTTGGACCCATGTGGGTTGGGCAATTAGGTGGGGTGGAGGAGGGTCAACATCCCTGCGCTGACGCTGGACGGGGAGGAAATGAGTCATGAGGTCCCCTCTGATGAGATGCAGGGCTGCTCTTTCCAATCTTGAGACTTCGAGTACTTGGAAAAACCCATAAAAGGGAATTTTCTGTGTTTCCAAGTCTGGCCAGGTGCCTGTGGTCCCAGAGCTTAGAGAACCGGGTTGTTGTGGCATTGCCTTCCACCTGCCTGGTCCTGGGTCAGGCACCCTTTGCCTGGAGGCAGGGGGTGGATGGCAAGACCCACAGTGTCCCTCCATCTGGCCAGCTTGCCCCACAGCGGCGGGATCTGTTCTGCCCCTAAGCTCCTGTGCTTGATTGTGCCCGCCCCCGTCAGGCTTCCAGGGCGGCTGGACAGGGAGGGGACCCCTGTGCGCTGTGGGCTGTGGTGAGCATCCTGTTCCAGACTGATCCCAGCTGGGCCGGCTGGGAATGTTGACAGCATTTGCTCCCTGCCCTCCTTCCCCTTCACCCTTCTCTCGAGGCAGGCGGGCCTCCAGGCCACAAGGAAGGGGTCTGCACGTGTGCAGCATGACTCTGTGTGTGTGTGTGTGTGTGTGTGTGCGCGCGTGCAGGTGTGTCATGGAGGGGCATCATGTAGGCCGGTGCAGGGTATCAGGGGAGTCTCAGGGCGAGGCACAGTATCCTGGGGACAATACAGTTGTCCCACGCACCCACCTGGTCACCTGTTCCGTCCACACAGCAGATATACAGTCAGGCCACTTGGCTCCCATATCTAATCAGTGTGGGATGACCAGCAGGTCCTCTCTTTCTGGACCTGGGCTGACCTCTCTGTCTAAGAGAAGAATGGATTAGATCTCAGTGTGGAGACATATTCTCAGCTTCTCTCCCTGTTCAGGGTGGTGGCACAGTGGAATCAAGGTCATGGCTGTTCCTGGGCTCTCAGACTCTTGGTGGCCTAGGTAGTGTTCTCGCTAGCCAAGGCCAGGTGTTTCCCTTCCTCTGCAGGGGCCCTGCCCCCTGACTGCTTAGGCTTAGACCCTCAGGGAGGCAGCTGCCCAGCCGTGTGTTCCAGATGTAGAGTGTTAGTCGCAAGTTCTGCACTCTGCTCGGAGCCAGGTCCCGAGTCAGCTGACAACGGCAGGGCTTGAGGACAGGCGCCATGGGGAGGGGACCAGAATAGCTTGGGTTGGAAGTGCTGGAGAGAAATGTCTCTGGGATCACAGAGTGACGCTGTGGGAGCCCAAGGAGGGTGGCAGCAGGGTGGAGAAGGGGTGCATGTCTCCTTCATTCTGGCTGAACTATCAGAATGTCCTTGGCTAGGTGAGGGGGCTGAGGGTCCAGGGTTTAGGGACCCAGGCAGAGCCAGATGTCTTCCCACTGGGAGCTTGTGAGCTTTGTTTACAGGAGGCATTGGCCAGGGGTTGGGACAAAAGAGAATAGTTTGGCATTCCAGCTGGGGGTTGCCCTTGGGTTCCAGAAAGGACTTCTGAAATCTGTCTCTGTGCGGTGCCCCTACCTGCGGAGGGCGCTCGGCCCTCCAGGAGATTGGACCAGCCCCCTGGTGGCAAAGTGACAGAGACAGCTGGGCTGTCCTCCAGGGTCCCCTGCCTGAGTCAGAACCCACTTCCCAGCAGAGTTAGGATCCTGGGCTTTCTGCTCCTTCCCTGTGGGCCCCTGTTCCCCCATCTGCTGTGCTCCCCTACCCCCTGAGTTCAGGTGTGTGACGCCAGAGCTCCTTAGCCCCTCTGACCCTCAGCTTCCTTTCTTCAGCGTGGAGGTATTGTCATAGTCGCTACCATGTAGGGGGTCAAAAGGACCAAACGAGTGAATCAATCCACTTGGTCTAACTTCAGAAGCCTCTGATGACTGTCCCTCTCACTTGGAGCAAACCCTAAGGCTCTTCCCCTGGCCTCTACCGCTTACACAACAGCTGTCCTCTCACCTCGCCTTCTTCTAGAGGCCCTGTCCCTTCCTCCCTGAGTTGCTGCCAGCTGGCCTTGCTGACTCTTGAACATGCCCCAAATGACACTGCCTCAGGGCCTTTGCACTTGCTGTTCTCTTTTGCCTGCAATGTTCTTCCTGCACATACCTGCAAGTCTTTTCCCTCCCCCAGGTCTTTACTTAAGTATCAGCATTTCCCATCCCTTCCCTGCTTCCCCATCCCCAGAGACACTGTGGATTTTACTCATTTCTCTTTATTTTGTTTAGGGGGGCTTTACCGACCTCAGCAGAGGCTTTTATCTATTTGGTGTGTTCCTGGGTTCCCAATGTCGTGCACACAGTAGGTGCTTTATATGTGTTTGCCGAGTGGCCAGGAGGAAGGCATGCAGCCAGGTGTGTCTGGCACAGGTTACGTTTGTGATAAACGGGACCACTGTGGCTGTGTCCCTGGCTGGCCCGTGGGGCGACTGTGAGAACCATGGGTGGGGATCCGAGGCAGGGCAGCTGCCTTTGCTGGACACCTAGTTACTGTCCCTGGAGAACGGGAAAGTGGCCCCGGGGAAACCAGGAGAAAGTTTGGCTTCCCCCGAGAGCTCTCAGCACCTGTTTCCTCACAGCCAAGCGCTTTGAACGGGTTCACAAGAGGCAGGAAAGGGTGGGTTTGTGTTTTTCCTTCCTTGTCCATTCCCAGCCTGCCCTTCAGCCTCTGTAGCGCTGGTCTCCGTGCTCCCCACCCCTCCTGTTCCCGCACGTGGTGTTTCTGTCCGTGTGTTTATCTGTCCAGGTTGCTCCCTGCCTCAGTCTGGCTGCATCTCTTTCTCGGGCCTTCTCACTGACCTTCTTTAACTCTTACCCCGGGATTAGGATCTCTCCTGTCCACACCCAGGATTTCTGTTCAGCTTGTGGCATTGCTGGCTAAACACGTTTTCCAGTCTGTGCCCAGGCCAGCCAGTGAGAAGTAGCTTAATCTTCAACCCATGTTTTCCATTTACTCAACAGATGTTGCCCAAAGGCTTGGGTAAAAAGATCCTAAGGTTGCCCCTCCTGGGGGGTCCACCGTGGGGTAGAATGGGGGCCCTGTTTGCCATGGACTCTCCTGATCCTTGGAAAAAGCTGAAGCAGCTTTTTTCAACTTCTGAAAAATAAGAGTGCGAGGAATTTCCCATAGCTGATAGCCAAGTGGAGTGGCTAGCAAGGTCATCCAGATGCCAGGCCCCTGGGCGCTCCCAGCAGGGCACTCAGGAGACCTGGGCCGAGGTGACTTGTTATGCAGGCTGCTTCCCTTTGCACAGCCTATGCCAGGGGCTCAGGGTATCCTTGTGGAACGACTTGGAGGTTGGGGTGGAAGAGGGATGGGGTGGAGAGAAATGCTGATTTCACCTACAACAGTAATGTAGAAGCCTCCCCTTCGACCCTCCTGAGCTAAAAATAAAGAAATCATAAATTTTAAAGTGTATGCCTGGCTGTGCACTATCAGGGATATGAGTCAACTCTTTGTGCAGTGGATCCACACTGCATGAGCTACCTGCCCATTAGTCACTTAGCCTCGTCAGATATCAATCAGATGGTATCATGTACTTGTTTAGTGGCTCTTACTTTGCTTAACAATGACTCCAAAGCACAAGAGTAGTGTTGCGGACAGTTTGGTTATGCCAAAGGGCAGCCTAAAGTGCTTCTTTTAAGTGAACAGGTGAGAGTTCTCCATGTATATAGAGGGTTCTGTATTATCTGATTTTAGGTACTTTCTAGGGATCGTAGAACTCCCGCCGTAGACAAAGGAGGCTACTGTATTAGCAATAGTAAAACACTAGCCCTTTTATGGAATCTTATGCATGATGTAAAAAAAACCACTTTTTACTAGTACACATTTGCAGTACATTATGTTTACACTCCTCGTGTGAAGTTGGTACACATACATGACACATCTTAATTCCTTTTTTCATCCCCATTCCCTCCCCGCCCTCTCCTGACAATAAAGGGGCAATTGTATTCTTTGTTCCCAGCATCTGCATGAGGAACTGAGGTCAAAAGCCACAGAGTTATTAAAAGGGAGAATGAACTCTCAGCTCAGTGGTCTGGCACCAGAACCCACCCTCTTAACCACAAATCTCAGTGACGAATGTCACTGTCACTTGCACAGCACCTGCAGTTTTCAAAGCCTTTTGCATGGGATCTTGGGAACCCCCAGGGCAGGTCCGAATCCATGCTGGGGAGGCAGGAAGAGCGTGTGGTGTGTGGGGTAAACTGGGGCTCAGGAAATCTAGGTGACTTGTGCACAGTCACATGGCTAGTGGCATCAGGGGCTGGGTCAGGATTGTACCCCAGCTCTGCTTTCTCCCGGGAACCCCACTGCTTGCTCCTGATGGAAGTATTGCCAGGTGCTAGGTTTTTCCAGTCCCTCTTTCTAAACAGCTAATGCCTCTGATGCCCACTGGGCTTGGTTTTGGGAGAAGGCCTGTCTGTCCATTCTGCCAAAAAAATACCTCCTAAATGCAATATATGTGCTGGAGAGTAAACAGGCCCTGAGATCTTAAACAACTTTCCTGAGCTCCCTCTGTGTGGGGTTTGGGGTCAGAAGGCATCATGCAGTCTCATGGGAGAGGAGGAGGTGTGATGCTCACTGCTAACTGGAGCATGCATGTGGACCACTCCACCCTTCCCTGTGACTTGTTGTCCATCAGGGACATGGCAGAGTATTTGCTTTGGAGTCTTGGCCCGATGCATTTGATCCCAGGGTACAGAGTGGGCTGCAGGGGGGGTATGTTTGGGAAATCTTGGAACTTGGAGCTCTGCCAAGAGATGAACCTGCTCAGAGGCTGACTTCCAAAGGAGAGGGGTGACTGCATTCCCTGAGGTCAAAAGCCACAGAGTTATTAAAAGGGAGAGTGAACTCTCAGCTCAGTGGTCTGGCACAGGAACCCACCCTCTTAACCACAAATCTCAGTGACGAATGTCACTGTCACTTGCACAGC